GCTTGGAAACAGAGATGAGCACCGCGCCCTAGAGACAGACACGACTGGACTAAATGTCAAGGGGAACCTTTACTTTAGCTACTAGAGAGAGAGAGAGAGAGAGAGAGAGACAATGCTATATATTGTGTTCGCTACTTTGGCATTGGGGTGGAGGGATTGGAACTAATTACCCGTGGAGACTGTGGTTCTGCTGCATATCTTTGAAGGAGAACCCACCACTGTCTGAGAAAGCCTGCTCCACTTTTCCTCAGCATTTATCCCTGGTACTCAGGATTACATTTCTTCACTATCTTGTGTATAGACCAAGTTCCTGACTCTGACTGATATATGCAGTGTTGTGTGTAGCGGACAGAGCGAGGGACTAGAACACAGGAGACCTGGGTTCGAATCTTTGCTTGGCCATGGAAGATGAATGGGTGTGTGAAACTGGTCATAGACCAAGTTCCTGACTCTGACTGATATACCCAGTGTCGTGTGTAGTGGACAGAGTGAGGGACTAGGACACAGGAGACCTGGGTTTGAATCTTTGCTTGGCCATGGAAGATGACGGGGTGTGTGAAACTGGTCCAGCCACTCCTTTAATATCTCACGTATTTTGGAAGCCCTGTTAGGCTCACTATCAGTGGGTTCCGACTTGATCACACCTAGCACGCGACATGGACTCTGGCCACAGAATTGGAAGTATATTTGCAAAAATGCTAGCCACGTCCTCGCTCTGTTTGAGCAACTCAGGCACAGCCCATGACAGGCCATTAGCTCCTCTAATTATGCCAGGATGTTTATGTAGCCTCCACTCTCAAAGCTCGATATGGGTGTTAATATGGGACCTTGAAATTTTATTTCGGTCCCAGCATCTAGCAACATTTGGGTGCCACTTCCATAACTTATATCTGTATGTAAAACTTTGCCTTAAAAGTTCACTCTGCCTGTCTGGACAAGCAGAGAGCCATCGACAAAAGCTCTTGCTGAAATAAATATTTAAAGCCACCGCAAGAGGTTTGTTTCAGCTTTTCCACCATTCCAACTATTTGTTCTAGTTCTGTCCTTTGGGGCAACAGAGAACAAGTCGGCTCCATCTTTTGCATGGCAGACACTCCCCCCCACCCCCTCTGACTCAACTGATTTTATAATCCCTACAAAGAGATGAATGTTTTATGATAGGTCAGTTAAATGTATTATCTTGTTCCAAGAGTGTGAAAACTCTTTCAGGCCAAGGGATGAGTTTGAAAGAAATCCGTTTCCCACTCGTAGGGCAGCACATCGGCCAAAAGACTTTGGTTCCAGTAACAAAGACTTAGGAGCAGTGGGTGGCGGGGAATGGGAGGCTTAGGAGCTCATTCTGATAGTCCCCATAGCCACCCACCCCTCGCTATAAAGAAAGTCCAAAAATGGAGACAACTGGGTCAGACTGTAGCAACAAATGAAGAGCAGCTCTTTTGTAGAGTTAATGATTCTTAATCACCCATCGATCCTGAAAGCCCAGTCTCCACTACTCCAATGTTTAGGAGAGGTATTTCAAACTTTGGGGAATGAGAAAGGGATGCAGAAAAGATAGGAATCCACCCAACAGTGGCGTCATGAATAACCTTCTAGGAAAATTCAAGGGAACAGATTGGGGCCCCAGGTAGCTCAATTTGACCCCAGTTTCGCTATCTTGGTTGACAGATTAACCATCTCCGTCTCTTTCACTGTCCCATGGGAACCCGTGGAAAGACTTCCTAGGATGATGAAATGCATTGGCTGACTTCCTATTGCCTAGCATAGCAAAGCTGCAACTAGAGTAGATCCATTGAATCAATGGCACCTCTGCAGGAGTGGACTCATCAAATTCTCACTGATTTGATGGCCCTATTCTAGTTGCAACATTGTCTGCTAAGCAACAGGATTTCAGTCCTTGTTTTAGACTAAATGTGTTTGTTTGTTTGCCTGTGTCAAGGAGGCACAGTGGAGAATTGGAACACCCAACCCCTGGCTCCGCAGGCAGACACCTAAACCGCTGAGCTATCCCGCAGTTCATAGAATCATAGAATAGTGACGTTGGAAGGGACTTCTAAGGCCATCAAGTCCAAGTCCCTGCATCATGCAGGAATACAAAATCAAAGGATATCTGCCAGGCGGTGGCTTAAGTTTCTCTTGAATGCCTCCAGGGTTGGAGTGCTCACCACCTCTCAAAGTCGTTGGTTCCACTGTTGTACTGCTCTAACAGTTAGGAAGTTTTTCCTGATATTTAACTGAAATCTAGCTTCCTGTAGCTTGAGCCCATGGTTGCGTGTCCTGCACTCCGAGAGGATGGAGAACAGATCCTGCCTCTCCTCTGTAGGACAAACAGCCTTTGAAGTATTTGAAAAATGCTCTCCTATCGCCCCTCTCCTCTGTCTTCTTTTCTCAAGGCTAGATATGCCCAATTCTTATAAAATGTTCTTGCCATTTAATCCATTTTTTCCCCACTATGTCTTCCAGGACTCACTTCTGTTTTTTTGTTGATTTGTCTGTTGGTAGCTCTTCAAGTACTTGATGACAGTTCTCATCTCTAGGTTAAACTCATTGTGTGGGGAATCTATTTATTAAGTGGTTTAAAGATAAGGAGGTAATGACAGCTTGCTATTATTTTGGCTGGGTTTTATCATTCTGGACTGCGGGAAAGTGTGACAATTAGGCATTTATTTCTCTGAAACACAAGATTATAATTAAGCTGTTTTAGAGTCTTGGGAAACTGGAGATGATCAGGAGAGAGACAGCAGCTACAAAGGGGAGACACCTGTGTTGGAAGAAACGAGCAAACCTCTTGTTAAAAGGAAGTCAGGCCCGGTTGGATCTTTGAAGGTTTGGCAGCCGCCCAAGATAATTAAGAGCACTACTAATGATGAGTGAGGAGTGGATGTCAGCCGGAATAACAGGATGTTTCTGTCTTCTTTTCTTCCTCCTGTTGAACATCACCCGAGCAAGGCGAAACAGGAATCCGTTCCAGCAGGAGTCGCCGAATTCCTCTGTTGCAGGGCTGGCAGCCAAACTGTATTGTGTGCCACAGGCGAAGAGCAGCTGTGCAGCTGGAGGGAGGGGGTTCTTAAAGAAAGGAAAAAGAATTTAAAAGAGGAGGAAGAAGGAAAGGCGGCAGAGTTTGACATCCAAATTGACACTTGTGTCTTAGGGCTGGGGAAATTTTTTTCCCCGTAGGTTTGTGTGCATGTGTGCCGATGTTTTGCTTAAATATTTCTCTTTGTAAATCACTTTTGTTTGTGTGTGAATGTATAATGATAAGCTGCATCTGTCAAACAGATCCAGAGAAACCTAAATTGAAGAGCTTTTTAAGTATTCTCTCTCTCTGTGTGTGTGTAAAAATTGGGCACTTTCATTGCAAGGGCCATACTTCTGTCGAAATATCCATAGGCAGATAGCTCAGTAGTTCAGGTGGAGCCAGAAGGTTGGGAGTTCGATTCCCCCACAGGGCCTCTTTGACAGGACTGGACCGGACAATCCAGAGGGTCCCCTTCCAGCCTGGCAGTTCCAAGATATGACGCCCACAGGGCCTCTTTGACAGGACTGGACCCCGGACGATCCAGAGGGTCCCCTTCCAGCCCGGCAGTTCCAAGATATGATGATAATAATAACATCAAGTCCACAAGCAGTGTGCACCATTCAATGAGCTGTCCGCCATCCACACAAGAGATTTCCTCTCATTCCTTAATATGCAGCGTGAATTTTGCTTTTCTCGCTTGCAACTCCCCTTCGCCCCCCGGCCTTTTTAAATTTTTATCGAAGTATGTGAGAGATGGGTGCCTCTATTAGCAACCCCCGAATATGGCTGCCTGTTTAGAACCAGCCTCCCTTACTGGTTGAGATGGAAACAGAGGTGCCAGAGAAAATGACCGCCTGTGTTTGTAGCTTCGGAGCAAGAATAAAAACCGAGGCAACTTCTTGGAACGGGGCAGGAACGGAATGCAAGCAAGCAAGCAAAGGGGAAGGAAGGAAGGAGCAGCTACCTGCCTCTCACCCGGGCAGGCGGGGCCGGCACGCGCGCGCTTTGGAACCTCTCCCCGGCGCGCGTGGCCATGGCAACAGAACGTTGTGCTGGCCGTCTCCTTGACGACGGAGGGGAGGGGGGCCGGACGCTCTCCCGGGCTGCCGCTGGTCTGCGGGGCGAGCGGGACCCGCGATGGGCTCGGCTTTGGAGGCGAGGGTGCGCGCCGCGTTCCGGGACCGGCTGCAGCTGCTGTAAGAATTGGGGGCGGGCGGGGATGGGGAGTCTGGAAAAGTTCCCTCCTTGGACTGCAAAGCTTTGGACCTCCCTAGACCCTCCACACACACACTCCAATGGGCCTGGGAGGTCTCGACCAAAGGGCTCCCTTTGCGTCACACTTCGGCGATGCAAAAGAAACAGAGGGGTGTGTGTGTGTGTAGGGATTATATACACCTTTTGCATCACTTGGGTGATGCAGAAGGTAAGCAAGGGCAGGTGCAATTTCGCCGAAGCTAGCTTTGCAATGAGAGCCTTCGTCAGGCCGGGCACCCTCTGCGCGGAGGTTGGTGCGGGAAGGAGACCCGGTGATCGCTCCGAAAGCCTTTTTTTTTTCCTCCTAAGCAACCGGTTGGAAGACACGCGGGCTGCAAAACACCAGCCAGGGAGCGTCGCTTTCCGATGCCTCCCCGGGTGGCCGCCGGCTTCTCTCTCCCAACGAAAGGATGCCAGCCCGCCGCCCGCCTCCACGCCTCGTTGGGTCTGAAAAGTTCCTTCTTGGAAGCACGCCGAACTGGTTGACCTTGAAGGTTCCAGAAGGCTTACTTCTCTGTGCCTTCCTCGTGGAAAAAGAGAGAGAGAGGGAGGGAGAAGTATTAGGGATGGCATGCAAGCACGTAACTTTCTTCACACGACCAGTGCGCTGCTGTTGTGGAGTTTGATGCCTTGCTGATCACGTGTCCCATCTGTTTCAGGAAAATCCCGGGAAAGGAAGATGACTTTTTGCCCCCTGCTTGCCACCTTTTGGCAAAACGAAGGGAGCTGGCAGAGGTGGAGAGGGCTCTGTTGGCTAAGAAAGAGGTAATGGCAGGTGGAACTGAGAAATCGGAAAGGAAATTGCAGCTCAGACCCGGGAAGAAACATGGGAAGCTCTCTTAGGCAGGGAAAGAATGTTCGTCTCTCTAGATTCCAAACGAGTATACAAAGATGGAGATTGTGCAGGTGGCCCCTGGCCTTCTGCCTAATGTATTTATTTATTTATGTGCAGTAGGACCCCCTTCTCTGTGGGATCAATATCCGCTGACTCATTTACCTGCAGTCTGAAAATATTAAAAATATTAAAAGATAAATCCTAGATGCAAATATTACTAAAGATGAAATTAACAGAACTGGCCACTAGAGAAAGCCAAAACGCATGCAATATATTTTTCAGCATCTGCGGGGGCCGCTTGGACCCGATCCATCATGGACATGAGTCCCATTGTACTTATTTATTTCTCTTGTTTGTAGACCATTTTTCTCCCAATAAGGGAACCCTATGTGGCCCTTTCCATCTCAGAAAACAAATTCTGAGGGGAAAGAAAGATTGTTTTTGCTCCTCAAAGCTTTTGGAGGTAGCAGTTATCCTTAAAGCAAGGTGTACCTCACCTGGGAGCCTTGCTTCATTTTTAGATTCTGTTTTTACGAAATAGGAAGTGGGCTTCTGGTGAGTTTGGACTTAAGCAGCCCATGAGCGTTCTGAGAGTAGCAAGAAATCACATGGCTTGCCTGTTGCTGCTCCGCAATAATCTGCCAAAGCTCGCAATGGGTCTTCCCAACTCTGGGACTCAAATTTGGACCTTATTCGTTGCACGGCAGATGCTGTATCCCTTCCCTGCAGCCCATTCCCAATAAAGCAAGGCTGAGAGCAAGATAAATTACACAACATCTCCACTATCCACAAAGCTAGGGATCCTGTTAAGAAAGGTAGATATAGCGGTGCCCCACATGACGATGACCCTGCTAAACAACAAATCCACAGGACAATGACTTTTTTTGCTATTGCTATAGCAATTGCAAAACGATATTTCCTATGGGGGATTTTCATTTGACGACGATTAGGTCCGTGCTTTGTGAACCATTTGTTTCCAGCTGATCGTCGGGTTCCTAAAATGGCTGCCCTGTGTTTTGCGGACCCATGCTTCACAGGGCAGCCATTTTAACAGCTGGTCGGCGCTCGGAAAATAGCTTCCCTATGGGCAATCTTCACTGGACAACGAGGTAATTTCCCTGTTGGAACACATTAAATGGGTTTCAATGCATTCCAATGGGGAATTGTTTTCCACATGACGATGATTTCGCTTAATAGCGATTTCAGGGGAGCGGATTATCGTCGTCATGCGGGCACCACTGTAGTCTGGCAGGTTTGAAGGGAAAACTGTAATAGCTGTTGGAATGCTGACAGTCAAAAAAGAGAGGGGGATCTCAATCTTGTGTCCTTGGATTGGAACAGCTGGACATCCACATCCTCTTCCTCCTGTCCAGCATCTACCATCTATCCCAGATTTGTCTACATAGGTTTTGTTTCCTCCCTCCCCACCCTACATGTCATTTGGTTGTTACCCTTTCCGAAAAGCATTGATCATCCTCTCTTGCCTCTTCCCAGGAGTTCCAGATGAAGATGGAAGAGCTGCAGGAGCGGCGACAGGAGTTGGAACATAAAGAAGGGCAACTCAAAGAGGCCATCTTAAAGTTTGACAAGTTCTTGAAGGTCTGTAAGTCTTAAAAAAAGGAGGAATTTTGGAGGGTTGGCCAACCACCAGCGCGGAAAGCAGAGCGAACAGGGCTAAGGGAAACCTAGCTTGCACCTGTTTCCTGTCTTGGGTAGTCCTTTCTCCTTCCATAGGTTTCTAGCTAAATCTTTTCATTTTGGTGGTGTTTTGATTCACATTAATTTGTTTTGGGAATCCCTATCGCAGTCTTAAAACTGCAAAGCTGGAAAGGACCCTCTGGAGTTTAGGAATCGAACCCGGTCTCTGCCTCTGAAGCCAGATGCTTAAACCACTGGAGTTGTAAGTTTATGCAAGCCATCTTGGAAAGGTCTGCAAAGCTAGGGTTAAAAATGGCCCAGAAGAGCACACGGTGTTGCTTCTTAGAGGGACCAACATCCGGTAATTGCTGCTCCATGCCACAGTGCCTAATATTTAGAGGAAGGTTGCCACTAGCTTTGGAGGTTCTGCTTAAATGTTATGACTCACAGCTTTCGACAAACTCTTCTCCATAGATGGTCTAACTTTTGTAAAAAGCCACCAATCTATTTGAGGCCATTGTCACATTTTATACTAAATAAAATCATTGCTTGATGATGCATAATGTGCATTATGTGTCATGGTTTGGAATCCCCGCCCCCCCGGTTCTGAATCTGTAGGCAGATAGTTTCACTGGGGAGTCACTAACTGTTAGATCAATTGATGATAGTCTTGTGATCAGTGGGGCAACTTGCAGCGTTGGACGGGCCACGCTCCATGTCTGAAATGTTTCTCACTCCTATGTTATTTGTTAGTCAAAAAGCCCCCCTTGCTCCCTCTGGTGGTCATATTTAGTAATTAGGCCAAATTGGGTGCTCTTCCTTCTCCCTCCTATGAACATTTTATTTATTTTCTCAAAAAGAAATGCAGATACAGAAGGGGGAGAGGGCAAAGAGAAAATTAAGGCTTAACAAAAAAATTTCCCTTTCCCCTTTTCCGCTAGTTTATCCATTTGCAACAATGGCCACCAGAAATATTTATAGTCATAAATTTTTCAGAGAGCATAGGCAATAGGATTATGGTGCCATATGAGCTACACCTCAGGGATGTAAAATGACTTCTAGTTTTGGGTGGGGGTGGGGGAACCAGCTGAGAGGTCCTAAAACTGAAATTGCCCTTTATGCCACCTCCTTATAGGACAGAAAGATACTTTTGGAGTGTGTTTTATGCCACCTCCTTATAGGACAGAAAGAGACTTTTGAAGTGAGTGAGTTTGTTTGTTTGTTTGTTGTGTGTGTTGCTTAGGGAGCAAGGAGTGGTAGAGAATGGATTTGGGCTCCTGGGAAGTCAGTTTTCTCATCCTTTTCTCTGCAGAGGGCAAAGGCTGTCAAAGCAGCTGACACACCAATTAAAAACAAAACAGGAAGACTCCTGGAATCAGACTTGCCCTCTGATGGGTCATAGCATAAAAGGAGAACACGATGGGGAGGGAGAAGGAAAACAATGCAAAGCAGTGACTGGAGCACAAGTGCTTGAGGGTTGTGAGTTTGCGCAGGCTGACAGAATGCCTGTAATTGACCGCGTCTCGAATGGAGCAATGGTGTTGGGTAGTTCTTCACACAGAGAAGCTGCTCTTGATTCAACATGAACAGGGACGGGCCTGAAGGAATGGCCTTCTGCCCCAATCCGGTGCCTCCCTCCATAGGAGAATGATGCCAAACAGAAACGGGCCCTGCGCAAAGCCACCGAGGAGCAACAGCAAGCATCTCAGCGAGGGGCAGAAGCCGAGCGCCTCCGGCCGGAAATTGCTCGGCTGCAGAGGGCGAAGGAGAAGCTGCAGCGGCGTCTGGCAGCTCATAAAGCCTTCCCGGAATACCTACAGAAGGTTCTGGAAAAGTCAGAGCAGGTGAGAGGCAGGGAGGAAGGAAAGGCAGTCCGAGGGAAGAGGTTGGGGGAAACCCCTACACAGGGCTTTGGGTGGGATTCAGGACGGACGTGGTGGCCAAGCGGTGCTGCAGGCGGTCTCTGCGGTTGAGTGTTTCTCACCAGAGATGGCGACTTGCATCATGGGGCTTGCTCTCAGGTTGGACCTCCCTCCCGTTGAATTCTGATGCTTCTGCCGTGTTTCCCCGAAAATAAGACAGGGTCTTATATCATTTTTTGCTCCAAAAAACGCATTAGGGCTTATTTTCAGGGGGTGTTTTATTTTACAGTCATGTCGACCTCTTCTGGTTGCTACACAAGGGTGGAGGGCGGAGTTTCACTTAACTAGGGCTTATTTTTGGGGTAGGGTTTCCGAAAAATCCTACTAGGGCTTATTTTCAGGATAAGTCTTATTTTCGGGGGAAACAGGGTAAGTGCTTCTTCTAAGAAATGGGCACCAACCTGGTTGTGTATCCCAGAGCTAATGGCTTTAGCTGCTACCCTCTCCTGTTCCTCCAACGGGTTGCTTTCCCAGAATCTCCTCTGTTTTTGCCCTCATCCATCTGTCTCCCACCTCCTTTCCCTGAGGCACAGTTTGGGGAAATCCCAGAGCTGATCGGTCGGTTCCAGACCCTGATGTCCACCCAGGCCAGCTTGGCCCAAAGGGAGCTGGTGGCCCGTGAAGCTGTGGAAGAGGAGCACGCCCGCCTGCAGCAGTACGTGGAGGAGAGCAGCAACCAGATCCTGCAGCAAAACAACCGGGTGGCCGAGCTGCAGTCGCAGCTGGACCAAATCCGGACCAGAGTCCTGGAAGGGGTAAGAAGGGGGTCGCCAGCGGGGCGGATGCCAGAGGGAGGGAGGAGCCGTTGGGGATGAGGTTCCCGACGAGGGGAACAGGCAGCGAGAGAAGCTGGATGGAAGTTGGGACAAAAGATTAGATCCTGTTTTAGAGCTTCATCAGGTGTACCTTGTCTATCTGGTCCTCTGTTCTGTTCCTGCAGTGTCGGAGCAGATGACCATCCCATACATGTTCTCCAGCATCAGGCACACCCAGGGTGTAATCCATGGCAGCCCATAAGGAGCGAGCGGTCCCCCCTCCCCCTTACTCTTGGCTCTTCCCTCCCAATGACAGGAATCTAACTGGATCCGCATCCAGAACACAGCTGCTAACAAGACGCTGGAGCTTGGGCAGATCAAGCTGGCCGCCTTGAACCTCTTCCAGATGGTTGCCAAGCACAGGACGGTGCCGGCCGATGTTGCCCCGGATGACACAGCAGCCCAGCTTTATGTGGTGAGTACTCAATGGCACAAGAACAAGGCTCCCAGGAGTTGCCCAGGGATTGAGTCCATGTTCCTCAGGCCTGGTGGGCAGCTTCTAGAGTCCCAGGGCCATGGCACTCATAGGAACTGCCATCTTTAAATTTCAAGAATGCCCTGTGATAAGCTATACAGTGGTGCCTTGCTTAACGATGATAATCCATTCCAGGAAAATCGCCGTTAAGCAAAAACATTCTAAAGCGAAATTAAAAACCCCATTGAAACCCGTTCAGTGCATTCCAGTGGGGTAAAAACTCACTGTCCAGCGAAGGTCCTCCATATGGCAGCCATTTTTGCTGCCTGTATAGCAAGGAATCCGTCCCTAACCACAGCGGGGAGCCATTTTAAGCACCCGGCAGCCATTTTGAAAACCCGACGATCAGCTGTTTTGATTGTCATAAAGCGAAAATCGGTTCCTGAAGCAGGGAACTGATCATCGCTAAGCGAAATTCCCCCAATTTAGACCCCTGTTTTGCAATCGCAGTTGCGATCGCAAAAAGATCGTCGTAAAGCGGATTCGTCATAATGCGGGGCAATTGTTAAGCGAGGCACCACTGTATACCACTTCTTGGCCATTGTGTGAGATCTCAAACGCAAGCTGAGCCGCTGTGTTGCAGTGCCTGGATTCCTTAATTCCACCAGGTCCAGCAGTGCATTGTGGACTTGACTGATATCCTAGCTGACTTCCGCAAAGGGGAACCGACGTACCTTCCACAACCAGAACGGACGTCTGCCTCTCAGTTGGAAACACAGCCCACTTAGCCGCTTCCAGGAACCTGGGTGAGTTTAACCTGTCCCTTTCCTTCACATTGAGGGGGTGGGGGTGGAGCAAAAGGGAGAGGAAGTATCTGGCTTCATTAAATCATAGAATAATTGAGTGGGAAGGGGGCCTCTATGACCATTGAGTCCTAACCCCGTGCTCAGTGCAGGAATCAAAATCAAAACAGATCTGAGAGATGGTTCTCCAGTTTTCTCTTGAATGGCTCCAGGGCTGGAGGGCTCACCACCTCCTGAAGTCATGGGTCCCACTGTTGTACCGCTTTAACAGTTAAGAAGTTTTTTTTCTGATATTCATCTGAAATCTTTCTGTCGCTTGAGCCCCTTCTTGATACAATGATTAGATTCTTGATATAAGGACAATTCACTTCTTGTGCATTTGAGCTTTGGACATGTTTTAAAAAGACCACAAAGTTTTCAGATGATTTCTATCGAGACCTTAAAAGCTCGACAGATGGCTAGAAAGGATTTCCAGCCGTTTAGAGAACGGGCAGATCTCCAGATATTTTTGACCTCCAATTCCCCTCTGGTCAGCGTGACATTGAGATCTCAATGCCACAGGTTTGGGCAGGAAATGAGGAGCTTCAGCATGACAGCTCCTTCTCTTCTCCTTAAGACTAGCAGAGGGTGTCATATTCGATTATGCAAAATATGGGAAGGTGCATCATTTTTCTTTTTTACTGCAGAATTTGAATTTCCTGGCTATTGATTCTAAAGCTCTGGTTATTACCTGCAGCAGAGTAAAACAGTCCTATCTGTGCACTGTCTGTGGCTGCTCTAGAGCATCCCTTTTTCCCGCTGGCAGCACAATATGGTGCAGCAAAATCTGGCCCATTTCCTGGTGTTTTGAATTGTAGGCACAGAAACACAATATCTCCCATTTATAAGAACTGAATTTCCTGGGTTTTTGAAATGGAAGTTTAAGTCGACATACCTCAATTTCCCTGCACTAATTCTCCATACAGATCTATTGGAATCCGACCGTCAGCCATTCTCATGACATGCCCAAGCCAGTGTAGACGTCACTGTTCCAGTAATGCACACATGCTAACAATTCCAGCTCATTCTAGGAGAGCTCTGTTTGGAACTTTGTCCTGCCAGGAGATGCAAAAAATGCATCAGAGACTACACATATGGAATGTGTTCAGCTTCCTCTCCTGCCGTGCACAAAGGGTCCAGGACTCACTGCAGTACAGGAGTGTGCTTAGGACAGGCTCTATAGACCTGGATCTTGGTATATGCCGTCAGCTTCTTATTGAGCCATACTCTCTTTGTGAGCCTAGAGAACATGGTAGCTGCTTTACCAATGCATTTATCCAGCTCGACATCTACGGAAAGAGTGTCAGAGATCATGGAGCCAAGGTACACAAAGTCATGAACAACCTCCAGTTCTTGCATGGAGATGGTAATAGAGGGAGGTGAGTCCACGCCCTGGTCCATGACTTGTGTTTTCTTCAGGCTGATTGTTAATAATGCTAGTCCCTGTGATCATCTCTGTTCTAGGATCTGTGAAGAACATCTGTTCCAACAGTCACAAAGACCTTAATGCTACCTTATCCATCATGAGCTCACAGTCTTTCCCCAACTATATCCAGGCTTCTTGGGAGGTATCAGTGGCTTTTGGGAACCTTTTCACATCCCTTCCAGAGTCCGTTCTGGAGAGACAACGGAAAGAGCAAACTGCCCTGGCTAATCTCACACGACGTGCCTTCAAGTTTAGAACTTTCTCCATGAGTCTTTTGAGAAGCAAAGCAAGACTTTTATATCCAGACATGTTTTAGAGCTACAGATGGGTCTAGCTCACTGCTTTTCAACCTAGAGGTATGTAGAGCTGAGTTTTTGGACTAGAATTCCCAGGCAGACATGTAGTCCAACCCCCCCCAGATCTACACACCTCTGCTCGCAATCCTTCTGACCCCCATAACCCTTATGTCCTCTGTCTTCAAACCTGCCTCTGCCAAGAATATTATTTGAAATTTGAAATACTGCAATTAGAAACCACACATGAAAATCCTTCCCAGTAGGTCTGGCATTGATCCAACCAGCCCAAAACATGAGGGAGGGCAGAAAGAGACATAAGGGTGAAGGCAGGAACATGGCACTTGCTTCTTTGTTTAACCCACTAACTGCTCGGGGTGACATCTGTTTGGGGATTGGAAGAAGCAAAGGCACAGATGGGTGGGTGTTAACTCCCCTCACTTAATCCAGCAACAAAAAGTAAAAATAAAAATCTAGCAGTAACATTGACGTTGGGGCTGGGTCCATTTTGGCACTGGGGGGGAACAGTGGATAACGAACTCTAGACCACAGAGTAAGTCAGAGGCAAAGTTAATTAGGTATATTACTCTGTAATATATGTAATAAGCTATGCATTTTTTAAAAAGCATCAAACAGTTCTCATTTCCCAAATACGATGATTATAAAACTCATAGAATCATAGAGTGGGGAAGGGGGATGTAAGGGCATCAAGTCCAACCCTCTGCTCAAGGCGGGAATCCACGTCAAAGTAGATCTGACAGATGGTGGTCCCGTTCTCTCTCGAATGCCCCCGGAGTTGGAGCACTCGCCACCTCCTGGGGAAATCGGTTCCATTGCCATACTGCTCTAAGAGGTTTTTCCTCATATTCCTTAGAATCATGAAGCCAAAAGGGGCCTCGAAGGCCATCCAGTCCAACCCCCTGCTCAAGGCAGGAATCCAAATCAAAGCAGGTCAGGCAGGATGGTTGAATTTCCTCTTGAATGTTGGAGCGCTCACCTGCTCTAGAGGTCACTGGTTCCATTGTTGTACTGCTCTAACAGCTGAGAAGTTTTTCCTCAAATTCAGCCTAAATCTGGCTTTCTGTAGCTTGGCCCCATTATTACATGTCCTACACTCTGGGAGGATGGAGAACAGATCCTGTCCTTCCTCTGTAGGATTACCTTTCAAGTACAGTGGTGCCTCGCTTAACGAGCGCACTGTATAATGACAAATCCGCATAGCGATCCCTTTTTCAGGATCGCTAATGCGGAGGCATACTGACGGTCGCAATGGGCAAAACTCGCATAGCGACGATCGGTAAGCATTTCGCTTACCGATCTTCGCTTTGCAATGCCCGCAGATCAGCTGTTAGGCGGTTCCAAAATGGCCGCCGGAAGCCCCGAGGGCGCGAAAATGGCTGCCGCTATGGAGGAAACTTCGCTGAATGGTAAGTTTAGGGCCCATTGGAACGCATTAAACAATGTTTAATGCATTCCAATGGGTTTTTACGTTCCGTTTAGCGATGTTTTCACATAGTGAGGCACCACTGTATCTGAAAACTGCTCTCAGATCTCCCTTCAGTCTTCTTTTCTCAAGGCTAAACATGTCCCATTTGTTCAAATAAAAGTAAGTTTATTGCAGTCATATGACCCATATGTTCCTTCAATCTTTCCACCTAGGGCTTGGATATTTTTAAAGCTATGCAGACATTTCACAAAATCTGCGACGAAGGGAGGCCCACTGGTTGGAAGCTTCCTTTCTATCACCCTCTTTTTATGAATTTTGCCCTCTTCAGCTCCCAAACATAAAAACCCTGGAACTTCCACAGGACGTTTGGAACTTCAAGTTTTAGAACTTCCACGTTCTGGTGTTGCTTATGTTTTTTAGTATTGGGATTCATTTGATCCTTTTAGTATTGTATACTCACGGTTAGCTTAAATACTGTCTTTTAATTCCTGTAAGCCGCTTTGGGTCTTTTAAGGAGAAGGACAGGATAAAAATGTTTTAAATAAATAAATAAAACTTCTTGGCTTTACTGCAGTATTTTGTTGGAAGCCCCATTTGTTATATGCTTGTGTGATTTGTTTACAGAGGCCAATAGAGCGGAAAGACATTTGTCCTGCTTTGCTCAAGGCTGTGTTGTGTGTTGTCATGTCACTTCTCACCGATGGCAACCTGAAGAGCGTTTCCAAGGGATTTAAGATGATTCATTGTCACCCCACTTCCTGTACATTTCCACAGCTAAACTAGGATTCGAACGGAGGTCTTCCTGATGCTCCTACTCCCAACGCCATGCTTCCTCTCAGCATTGAAGGGAGCCAGCCACGTGCTCATTTAAACAGGCAGACCCTAAATCAGCCTTCTGTCCTATCTCATGGCTGAGAAATACTTCTGTGGCAAGGTGTCCCCTCTGGTAATGTGTGAAAGCAGAAACCTAAGAATTCTGAATGAGGAACAGAGGCAAGGATGAGGTCAGAAGATAACAGGGGAAAAAAAATGGAACGTCCCCCTTAGAAATTGGCTAACCGTTTCACCCAGGCCCCAAAGGTGATGACAAGGAATTGGGCCTTTTTGGTGGTGGCCCCCAATCCCTGGAATAAGTTATTAATGGAGACTGGCCAGACTTCTTCGCTCCTTATGCTTAAGAAATGGGTGAAAGCCAAATTATTCAAAGCTCCCTCCAACAACTGATTCTCCCAGAGGCGGTTATCTTTAATGCAAGGGTTAGAAAATGTTTTATTCTTTCCCTCCAAACCCAGAGTTTGCATAGACCATTAGCAGACCGGCGGGTCCTGGAGACGGGCAGCCACGGCGAGTCCCCGCCTACATCCTCTTCTTCATTTTGCCTTTCTTGACGGTTCCCCGCCCGAAGGCCGACTGGCGCAGCTCCTGGAGACGTTGCCGGCCGCGGCCCTTGAGCCGCTTCAGCCCTCCGCTCTGCAGGAAGCGCTGCTTGGCCCTCTTCTTCCTCTCCTTGAAGATCTGCTGCTTGGTCTTCAGCTCGGAGCGGACTCTGCCCGGCTGGGGTCCGCGGCCGCCTTTCGCGGATGGCCCTGGGGGGTTACCTGGAGCCACAACAAAACCTGAAGTTAGCCAAAATGCCGGATTTCTGCTGGATTGCTTTTAGATTTGAGACAGCACTTTATTCCCCAAAGCAAGCTGGACTACCTTTAGAGTCGACTCCTACAATACCCCCATCCTAGGGGATTCTGGGGCTTGTAGTCTGGCTCCAGGCAATAAGGCTACAAGTTTATAATTCCCTCCCACCCTAGGCTCAAGGTCTCAGATGTTTGCCCATCTCCCTGCGCATAAAAGCAATGTCCAAAAAACACACACAACAGTCAAAGGAGGTGCGCAGACTTGTGTTTTTTTGGAATGCTCAGAGTTTTGGGAGTTGTAGTCCAACACCACCAATGCAGCACATCTTGAGGATCCATTCTTCACAAGGATGCTGCGGGTGGGTAGGTAAAGGTCAGCCGTCCAGACATTACCGGACTGCAACTCCCATCCATCCTAGACCCCACTGCCTAGGATGAGGAACGATGGGAACTGTAGTTCAGCAACATCTGAAAGGCTACACTTGGTTTGCCTCGGTATTAAACTGGAAGTGGGAATACCGCTCTCACACACCTGAAATGGGCTTTGTGTTTGGCCCTCCAGATGCTG